CTACCTATTATGACGTCAAGCAAGTTACACCACAGACGTATGCATTGAACACCCTTCCTGTAAGAACCAACCTGCCACATAAGAAATTACCAATGTGGCTACCTATTATGAAGTCAAGCAAGTTACACCACAGATGTATGCATTGAACACCCTTCCTGTAAGAAGCAACCTGCCACATAAGAAATTACCAATGTAACTACCTATTATGACGTCAAGCAAGTTACACCACAGATGTATGCATTGAACACCCTTCCTGTAAGAAGCAACCTGCCACATAAGAAATTACCAATGTGGCTATCTTTTCTTACAATGTCTATTCAAGCAAGTTACGTCAAGAACGTATGCGTCAAAACTCCCCACATCAGAACCAACCTCCCCACACAAAACCACCTACAACTGAGCCAAAAACAAACGACCAGTTTAAGTGGCGGGCAGTTACTGTATCAGGAAATCGTTACGAAACTTCGATAATATGAAATGTCAGCGGAAATTTGAATCCTCATGTCGGCGCCAAACACTTTTTTATTGATATCCATTTTAAATGCGAATATAAATTCTATTGTAGGATGTTTAAATTTACTTATCATGAAAGGATGGAGAAATTTTGCATAGCCAATTTACTGAGTAGCTGTGAAACAAACATTTAGGAAGTAATATTCAAACTTTTGTCATTTTAATATAAAAATTATGCATTTGAAATTCTGAACAGAATCATTCAGATATAGAATTCAAATAACAATAACACTTATTTCACCAATAACATGCTACATAACAAATATCCAATAAACAAGCATGTATAAAAAAAAATACGGATACAAATTAACTATTTCACAAGTCATCAATGATAAACAACGCTGAGAGTATAGAAAGCACGATTGAGTTTACGATACATGCATAACCGTTTTGTAAAATATCTCAAAATTATACACGTTGTAGCTAAAATAAGCAAACAATAGACCACTGCGACTCTATTAAAATTATTTATTATTATTATTTTTTATTGTTATTATTAAGTGAAGAAATATTTTGGATAAAAAAGAACAAAACACCTGACATTTGACATACGAGGCTTCATAACATAAGCATAAGCAATCGAACATTAGTTAAATTAAAAAGATCCTGTTCAAATTAGTAATAAATGTAAATATAGTTTCGATAAATCCAAATAACAAAATTGAAATTACAACACATTGTAAATAATAAACCACAATATGGACAAAAATAAAGCATATTTTTATTTTTGGACATAAGGAATGGAAAAATACAGTAAATCATGATGATAAATTGCATAAATTTCCTGTATGTAATCAGCTGCGATGTACTACCATTTAAACATATGAAATCGGTTAACACGTACGCAGCATTTACAAAACAAGTCGTTGAACTTTGCGTGATTTTAAAAACAAAGTAAAGAAAAAATTGAAGTTACAATTTTATTTCAAAAAAGAAATAATTGTTCAACTATTCTGTAACTGAAGCTAAATCAAAAGGCAAAATGAGAAAGTGCATACTTTGATTGGTCTGGATTAAATAGAATAAATTCTTGAAATGAAACGATCCAAGGAGTTAGCCAAGAGTATTCTGATTTTTTTTAGAAAACATACAATACTAAGATAGAATTATTGATTGGCTATCCCAGATAAGATGAATCAAAACATAGGCAAACTTTGTGTCAAAAGTGCCAACATTAACCAATGAATAAATCAAATTTGAAGAAAGAAAGACAGTTCATTAATCGTGTTTACCTAATAAGGAATTATAACTGCAAATATTGCAACTGATATGACGCAGTTTTGAATTGGAGCAATTATAACATCTCATGATCCGGCAAGGGTTGTTTTGCACATCAAATTGTGATCGATCTAAACATTATTTTAAATGGAAATTTTTAACCCTGCTATTTTCCGATTAATACGAATTGCTTTTTAAAACCTTAATTGTCTCAAGCATTTTTTTTTTTGTCATAGCACTACTCAAGCTGAATATGTGAAAAATTAAAAAATAAAAAAAAATTCAAAATTTACCTGTCTGGCTGCTTGACGTCCTTTGTGAGTCGCCCATACTATAAAGCCTGGCCTCGCAGGCAGTCACCAGCAGCATAAATCTTGCATTTCGATGTACTATACCGATATTTTACAGTGAAAATATTAAATAGCATATATGTTTCTATGCCAAGTTATCCAACAACAAGATGCAGTTCACTATCAACAAATAGATTGCAAATTAAATAGAACAGTTTTTATAATATGTGTATAAATGCGCAACAAAACCAGAAAATATTTTGAATAAGTGAACAAAATTTTAAAATTATTCAAAATGCATTATACTTTCCAAAAATGCAAAGTTGTACTAGCTTTCTGAGCCTGTGAATCTTATGGCATAAATACATAAACCACGTGGTACTTTCTTTTCTCTACCTTCAATTTTAGACATTGTCCAAGTTCCGTTTTCATCCCTTTTCCAATCAAACGAATCGTTAACAAACCAGTTGAATTTTTTTCTCCTGAGCCAATTTCACTTATCAAAAATTTCTCCAATGTAAAAAATTTCTATTAAATCCACATTTCAGAAACTTCAATTTTTTTCATAGATTTACAGTTAAAAAAAAACACCTAACGTAAAAGATATTTTTGTTCATTAACTTCAATAATAACAAAACGTGTTAGAAAGAAACTTTTGTGGATAAATCAAACTGACGTGTATCATCATCACTAATCTCTTTACGCTCTTCATGTCCATAATGAAACAAAATATGACGGACCACTGTGATCATGGAATCTGGATCCGTTTACTTGGGGTTGTGACTTTTTTTTAAATCTTGCACACTTTCTGCTCTCTATTTAACAAGAAATCTGTTATGATTGATATTTTGCCTACGTATAAGTTTAAAAGAGAAATCGGGATTTAAAATCTAATAAATTACTAACCGAAGTTTAAATCTTCAGAAATTTCTGTTTCGTACAGATTGCGATACAATCAATAGCGGTACATTGAATAATGATTCCCTTCCCTTTAACATCCAAACTTTGACATTCCCAGTCTTCTTCTTCACTAGCCACAATCTGTTGACTTTCCTCCAAGAACTCCATCATAAAACAAAATCTTTTCACTCCGTGATTTGAAATCGAAAGATCACGTGGTATCGTTGAATCCGTACAAATTAGTATTGCGTCGTTGTCCTACAGATTTTAACGCGAATCAGAGGAGGTAATGCAAATATTATTTGTTATAATCAAATTTGGTCCCACCGAATATTTGAAATCGAAGAATATTGGATTTGAAATCGGAGGATATTGAATACAGATTATATTTAGCTAGAGCAAAGGAGATATACTTTTACTTTTGACCATAAGTGTCGACATTAATACTGTCCAGTCCAGAGATTTGAAAAAATAACCTTAAGAAAACTGATGGGATGTATTTACGTATTTCAGTATTTGTTACAAACCGAACACTTTTATCTTCCAATAATTTGATCTTTCTATCAACAACATACTTATCCAATCTCATCGTTGGTATGTCATATAAATCATTGCAAGTAAAGTATTGCAAATTGGAGCGTAGGATGAAACCGATGACTGCAACATATGTAAATTACAAAAAATACAACACACAGAGAAAATACATTTCTGCAACAGCACTGCTTGCAACTAATAAGTATTCAAGGACATTGACGATAGTCTTGACTTTTATAGTCGTTGTTAACTTTTGACTTTGGCTGCCTGAAAATCTCAATTTTAGTAATTTTTAGAACTAATCTTAACAAATTACCTGAATAATTTTTCTTCTCGTATATGACAACCGCATGTCCCATCTTACTCAGTTGAGCTGCAGCTACCATTTCTGAGAAACTACTTTGTGGTCTTTCTGTTCTTCTCTGACGTTTGAGTTGAAATGCTAAACAGTTATCAAGTCTCTAATATGGTAGTAATCATTATAAAATACTTGCTATTTATTAATTAATAAATCATTTTATTCAGTGAGACATATCATTACTTGACTTTATCTAAATAATTAGAGTTAGAACTGAAATTGACAAGCTGAGTATTCTCAAAATGATTACTAGAATGGATTACCAGTTGGGCCACTATCAATAATTGCAATACATTTGCCAGTACTGAAATTTTGTTTATGCGGCTGCATTCAGTCTTGTAGAAAAGAGTAACTCCTTTTAATTGTTACAGGCGGTGAATTGATCGCCAAACAGTCTGTTGACTTAAATATTTTTTAATTTAATTCAAAAGTCTCTTCATTCCATCTACATAATTAATTTATTGTATATGTCTGCTATTTAGTTTGGGCGGGTAAAAAACGCAGTACCACTCTTCTAACTATAAAATAAAATTGGACAAATGAAAAACGGTGTTTCATGGATTCTAATGAAACCATAGAATTTCTGGATTTACTTCTCAAGAAGCCAGGCAAACATGACTAGTAAATTCTGAAAAATTATTTGTTTGTAAAAGCTGTTCGAGTGCTTGTCCTCAATTCTATTTGAAAACATAATCATTCATTTTGGAATATTGTTCCCAAGTGGATAGCCCGTATTTCTCTGATAAATACATCTAAATTACATTTAATGATCATTTAACGATTCAGTTATTAAATTGACTTAAACCGAAATGCTAAAATCTAGAAATACAAGATCTCACTACCTGTACGTGAATATTTGACTGTCAGTACCATAATTCGTAATTTCGGTCCAAGTTTTTATCTGTTCTTCAGCTGGCTGATAAACCACTGCTTGGCGATGATATTTCATGAAGCCCCTGCAACAACGTTATAATCTGTAATGCTTCCTAATAAATATAAAACGGATCACGATATTGTTACAGCAGTTAAGCACTGTTCTTATTCCTCTTCATGAAGTTAAATGTATTGAAAACTGGATGCACTTTCTCATGATATCATTTAGGATCATCGTTAATCAATATGAGAGAAATAACAGATAACAATTTTCAAAATGAATATGAGATTCAAATGATTACGGTTGGAAAATAATACCTTGATTTATTTAGTGATTCATTATTATCCTTCAAAATATGCAGCACATATATTTTCAATATCAATGATACAGCCATTTGTATCTTCAATATCTGATTCATTGATATCTGAGGGTTCTCCTCCTCATTCTCTTCAACTTCCTGCTGCGAGTCTTTCATTTCCTCGAAACCATATAATCTCAAGGCTAACAAGCTTTGAAATTTGAGTATTTGCCACAATAATTTCCAATCTAAAGTAAATTATAGTTTTATTTTTAAAAATATAAGTAAGTGCATTGTATATTGGCTATCCATTCTGCAGTCAATTATATGATATAAAAAACTTTTTAATAAGCAAATATACCTTTAGACGATAAACTGTTGTCGTCATTACTCCATTAAAGTTTTTGTTAGTGAAAATAAAATTAAATATGAAACTAACACTAGGTACTGAGTTCTACTTGTCTTTTACTGTACCAAGGGGTTGAAAATGTTGTTGCTATTATCAGTGTATAAGATGCCAAACTACTTGCAAACTAGTAAGTTTACAAAATAAGATTGAAGTGTATGAAAAATTTTTCAACTTACTGCCGTATTTGTAGTAATTTGGTCCCTAATTAAATAAAACTGTATTTAACATTGGTTTTATAAATTCATTTTCATCAATTTTTACAACGAATCAATAAACTAACCATTTTTCGCCGTACAGGATTAATAGCAATTTGATTATCCATTGAGAATTTGCGATCTCTTGAAGTTATTACTTGTGAAAATACTTCATTTTCCATTAAATCCTGGTAAAGGTTAATTTTTTAAAACCATTCAAAGTCAATAATTGTGGGATTTCTATAAACATTGAAAATCGTGATTACATTATTTATGGGTTACGTCTGCAAACGTCTACAAAACTTCTGACCAAAGGTGACGATTTTAATTGAATTCTGTTAATTTCACTAAAATTGAAATGAAATCATTCACTCTCACCATTAGCTCATCTTCGAGATAAAGTGACTTTTTACCAAAAATGCACCAAAATTTTGTCGTGCATATCATACGAGACTGACACGAATTGAAGATCGTTCGATAACCCATTTCACCTAACTGTTTCGATATCTATATTTATTAAACAGATTGCTTGTTGTTCGTAATTTAACAGTGCAATATCGATGTCTTAATGAGTTGAGACATCAATACTGCACTGTGTGATGATAACTTATTTCAAAGCCAAATACTTACATGATAACTTATTCCAAAGCCAAATGCACGATCCGCGTTAGCAATCTTGAAAAGCTTATAACCATTACGTCTACCATTCTCACTGAACAAATCTTTCGCTGCTTTTATTATTCGTTCTTTCAAACCGTTAATATTTATTTCCTACAAGTTACTATATCAGATACATCGCAACTGCCAGGACATGCAAATTGCCTGTCTAATTTAGCTGAGCATATCAATCTCCCGAAGTAAACTATCAATAGACAAAATTATGAAACCGCATCAGTTTGCACCGTTTTACTCTAATCAACTAATATTTTTTTATTACAATGCTAACAATTCTCGGTAGTACGTTATCGCTTTGCCACTGGATTATCAGACCGGTTTTCCACATACTATGCTTCATTTAGCTTATAAAATTTATTATTCGGATAATTTTATCAACTCATATTTCTCCCATGACTGCACTTCTGCATTATATCTCATTGACATTACATTGGTGGAATGATGCTATCTATTATTTCAAACATTATTTGGTTTTCAACTCCGTTTTTAATTCAACTTATAATAATCTGATTAACAACAGTACTTCCCTGAATATCACAGTTCGGAAAACGTTTCTGAGCATTCAGTAGGATATTACTGAATTCCAACATAGTTGCCTTCTTCTTTAGGACTCGTACTTGCGTATAGTAAGTCGACATATGGCTTCCTATGGCTTCTTGGATTGGAATTTTTAAACAAATCATACCATACTTTGTAGATGACAAGGAAATAAATAATGCTATATATGTCAAATCAAATTACTTGACCAAATTTTAGACTTAGATCAAGCTAATCAAAATAATATGCATAACAATAAGGCTTTGTTGAGTTCCCTTTGACGGTTCAATAATATTTAAGTTGATACCTGTAATGTTCATAAGCTGTTTTGATAAGAAATAACGCATTTCTTTAGCAACCATAAACAAAAAATTGGCAACATATTTCAGTTTTCCCTTGAATTTTGCTCGTAAAATTGGATCCTGAAAAATTTATGTTCTTTCCTCTTAGAAATTTCAGATGATCAAAATGATTCAAAAGAGCCTAAAATGTCAATTAATTCTTTGTTTATAAGCTGAATAAAATGACCTGAGTAGCAATGACAAAAGAACAAGTTTTCAGGTGGTATTTTCTCATCATTGTACACCAAGAACAATCAATGGTGCAGTTGACATTCCAAATTCATCAGCCCTGATCAATGCTGCTATCATTACATCACGTCTTAAGAAAAAAAAAGCTAACAATTCGTTTAAAATCTAGAACCGAAATTAAAAACTAATCAAGAACTTCGCCAGCTTTCAATATAAATTAAAAATAGTTTGTTTTACGCATAATAATTTTAACTCTTTTTCTTGACTTCCCTTGAGAAGTTTAAAAAACTACAGATCATCTTTCATAGCAACATATCAGCAGTAGTAATAAATTAAATAACTTACCAGTTCCAACCTGACATCAGCTTGTAGGACGATACGTTTCCGTAGATTATTCATACACAGCACCTGATGAGTTTCTGCTACTTCAATTTCCCATGATACTGGCATGCTTTCTTCCGGTCCAACTTAATTCATCTATTTATCACTTATCTCCAATTTATATAGATAAATTAGGAACTCACTAAAATATGAACCAGACTGAGATAAGAAAGATAAAAGAACAGATGTTTATAAAATTAACTAAATTTCAAAGACCAATTTAGTTTAAACTTCAACAAATTAATTTCCAAAAATGTAGTTTTGAAAGTTTCAAAATGAAATTTTTTTTCTTGAAAAATACTTGGAAAGACCAGTACCACTCTCATGTCCTGATATAATCGATATGTTCGGCTTTGCCTTTGACAACATCAACAACAATAATTTCAATACTTGCTTCAAAAATTAATTTAACCTAATGCGAGCCAATGGATTCACACATTTTAAAGTCCAAAGCTTCAAAAATCGAGCACGCTAATAACATGTAATGGATAAAATTAACCTGTGAAATGTCTGGATTTCATTTTTTCACAAAATTCTAATTGATATATTTTAATGATTTAGCACTGAAATATTTTATAGCCAATCGATCAAGTTCAATATTAATAATTAAGATAAGATAGAATAGTTTCGAGCATTTTTAAAGGATCGCAAAATTAGTAATTACAATCATCAAATATTGTTTTGAATATCTAATAAAATGGGCAATACCTTCATGCGCAACTATTGCTTTAGCATGCATTGGTGAGCAGCATCGAATGTCACCGTGTAATCAAAGAGCACTATCATCTGATAAGCATCGAGTGCTGCTGCATATCTTTTATTATAGATTCGGTTTAAAGCTAACAACAATTCCTGAATTTCATTTTCTTTTGGTCAATATTCTTGTTATTTCGAAAGCATCCGAATTATAGAATCTCCCTACTTAAGCTTAAATTTTTTTGCTTGCTTTGGAAATTTCCCTGATACATGCAGAAATTAAATACAGATTTTTTTAAATCAATAAAAGTTCGCATACTTTATTTGATATAGACATAGTCGAATATTGTCACATTATAGCCAATTAGATATTATTGTTAATTAACATTAATCGTTAACTACAGGCTTAAAATGAACAATAGGCATCTTCCGCTAGCTGAAGTGAGACAATATTCTTTCCTAGCTTTTTCATTCTAAGCCTGTAATTAATATGTATTGCTTACAAAATTATCTTTACTAAAAAAAAGAAAATGATTAATAGATGCAATATGTTCTAGTATCTTCCCTCCGAGAGAAAATCACTATCATGCTACAGACATTTCTTGCGATAGTGAATTGGAATCTAAAATTGAAAATTCTTAGAAACGTGGATAGGAGTAAATAATACCGGTCATTTTTGTTCGCCATCCTTTATAAGTTATGCGTTTTAAAACTTGCAAAGTTGACAAATCATTTCATAAATTCCATGCATTTTTAGATAGTATGTGGAAGTAATTAATTTATGTGACTTGCAAAAAATGCATTTTGCTGCGGATGAAATCCTATCCAAGGATAACCTATTGATATTTTTTGATCGAAGAATGTGCATATCAATACTTTCAAACCGAAAGATGACTTATGTTATCAACACTTCCAAATCAACGAGAGATAGAACTGATTGTTCAAGGATCAGTCGTTCTTCCAATTCTTCTATCAATTTCAATAGATTCAATTCAAGTCTAACAAGACACCTGAATGACATCGCGATCTGTTTCCGAAACGGATCAATTGGTGGATTCTTTACCTGGTTATATTCTTATTGTAAATCATAATCATGAACGACAGAAATTTGTTATAATCATTTTAAATATTATCTCTCAGAAAACTGAGATTTTAAATGTGTTCCCGGGAAACTGATGATCTAGGATCCACCATTTATGATAATCTTATGACAGTCTAAAAAGATTTATTTTTTTTCGTTTTCATATAATCTGCTCTTAATCCATAATCAGAAACCAAGTGATATTTTACAAATTAGTGATATCTCAGCAGTGTTAACCGGCCAGTAAAATTTCTCGCTCATCAATGAAATATAACTAATTGTATGCCTGTGCAAAAAGTTGATTATTTTGAAATAATTTCAGGGCTGTAATCAAAAAGACATGCTCTGCGTCATTTCCCATTGCTTCCTTTCTGAAAAAGAATCCATTTAATATTTAATTTTTTGAAAATAACCTGAATGAAAAAACTAAAACATTGAAGACAAATTTCTGAAAACCAAAAAAAAGGAAATTAATTCTTGAAAAATATAAAATGAGATAATTAGTAATTAATAAATGATGCTAGATGTGTATTGCTGAAAGACTGAAGTCATTTTGTATGAATGTAACGTGGGGTTAAAGTTAATCTACAAAATAGTTTTGAGAAATTTGTTGCTCACCTCCTTTCTTTAATAGTTAAATGAATTTATTTATTGTATTAGATGTGACTTTTTACTTTTTTCATCCTTATCTTTTGTTTACAACAATATGAGTTTTTCCAAGTGCGCACTTTGTACAATAAGAATTTATGACTCGTATTATTAAATTAACACACTTTTCGATAATTATCGGTTTTCTTTAATAATTAGATGAATTGATTTATGCAATAAATATAGCGAATGAATTTGGAGTGTATGAAAATGTTATGAGACGTCGATCTTCATTAAGATTGAAATCTTTGTGATGTTTCTTCGATATCCGATGATCAGTATCTCCTGTAAATCTTTTTTCATTCTACTCGAATTCTAGTTCACATTTTACCAAGTACTCATTCGTTATAGCTTTGTGAATTAATTGTAAGTAATATTTTTTATTAATATATGAAATTTCATTGTTACCATTTGCTGATCTTACAAAATTGATTATTCATTAGAATTAGTCTTTTTAAAAATGAAAAATCACTTCTAAAAATATTTTCATTACACCCAAATACTCCATCCTCTTTCTACTTCATATTTTGACTATAAAATTTAATGATTCTGGATTTGATCGTAAAATGGAATAAAAGAAGTATTAAAATTGATATTATTAGTACTCATTCGATCACTTATATACTAAAGAAAGATTTGCTATGTGTATAAATTTCCTATCTACTCCAATTGTACTAATTCATCTCCAAAATTTCTTTAGTCTTGAAATTACAAGTCAGTTGAAGTTAAAATAATGCAACGTTTAGTTATCACATCATTTCTACAAAATTAACTGAGATATCCGAGCTGACCTAAATTTTTTATAAGATCGTGAAAGAGCTATTTGTAGCTTCAAGTTGTGATCTTCTTCAATTTTTTTTTCCACAGTATCCACAAGTAACATACGACCTGGTTGTAATGTATCCTTAAATAAATCAATAATAGTATTTGTGATGAAAGAATAAATATTGATTAGTGGGAAAATTTCATGATATTTTTAATAAGAGAAATCCATATCAGTTCATTGTTTTAAGTAAGCGATGTGTCAAATATATTAAATAATTCGTCTATTTATATTTTAATCGATTTTATCATATTTACCAGAATTTAAAAAGATTCGGCGTTATTTGAAATATTATACAGAGTTCATCCATGTCTTTATTGTTGATTGAAATAATCTGCTAACAAATATATAGTTGTTACTGTTAATTACTTGTTGATCCAATAAAAAAATAAGAATTAAATCTCTTATAATGCATAAATATTTAAATGATCTTGTCCTAATTAACGTTGAAATTTATAAAAGAAAGTTAGCGATAAGCTTTTTTTAGTATACGGAACATATGCAATGCTTACATCAAATGGCTGCTTTTGTCATCACCCGGAATATTAAAGCTATTCTTTCCGGAATTGTCACAGATTTAAGGCAATCGATTCCCCAATGTTGCTTTCTTGCGGCGTCATAAAACTGTTATCAAGAATTAGTCACGTGGCTCAATCTGTCCAACTATTACAGAAATTTCTTACAATATATTTTTCTCCATTATGTAAAACTGTAAAAAAACTTCTGAATTACAGTTATTTCTTTTTAAAAATTGAATAGTGCTAATGTGATATTATCTTTTCACTTTTTATATTATTCCCATATTGGATTTGAGCTTAAATTTGAAAGCAGAAATGTTGGAGTGAAGAAATTACATTCTATAAAGCTGTCCTATTCTTACATATCTGAATATTAGATTTGACTAACGTCTGAATATAACTTCAAACATTTTTAGCAGTCATTTTCAACCAGTACTTAACAAATAATTGCTATTGATTTTTGATTGCATTAAAAAGTTTGCTTGGTAATTTAATACTATTTATTGCAATCAATTTTAGGACAAGCCATTTTCTAATAAATCAAAGCTATAATTATTTCATATTTTTTTCAGTTTCAAATTCTATCTCATAATTTTCTTTCTTTTGTTATTTTAATGGAGTTTACATCAAGAACAATTACATTGAAAAAAATGAATAATGATTGAAAATCAAAAATGGATTTCTTTCATTTCGGTTATTTCAAATTATTTGTTTTCTTGTTTGCTCTTGAAATAATTTTTGAAAAAAGTAAACTACATACATTGTAAGTATAAGGGGAAGAACTCAAAAATTTTCTATAAAGAATCAACTTTGCAAAATACTATCTTTAACAAAAAAGAAGTCTTTAAGAGATGACTGACTTATTTTGCTGTGGACTAGAAAATACAATTTGTGATTATAAAATTTACCGATTGGACCTTTAAATTCAAACATAGTAAAAATGATGAGTAATCATTACTTTTATGTAATTATTACTTCTATTGCAGAAAAGATTTGCTATTCAGACTATTCAAGCTATTCAGACTATTGAATGGCTATATTCAAAATTTTTAGACAAAAAAAAAGAAGGAAGCAAACAGAACCTATACCTAACAAAGGTGATCAGTCTCGCACTAAATTTTAATAATAGTTGAAACCTCAAACAGTAGACGGATAAGATTTAGAAAGTAGTCTTTTAAAACGGTATTATTTAAAAATAGGCCAATAGCAGCTGTTGTATGATCACTTATCAATTTTTCTCAACATGATTATTAAAAATTTAAAAATAAAAAAAAAATCAGACGACATTTTTAACATTCCAATT